TCGGAAAGCAACTTGGAGAGAAAAGATCAACTGTCGGTGCAGTTATCAGGAAATGGAAGAAGCACCACACCACCGCCAACCTCCCTCGGTCTGGGCCTCCACACAAGATCTCGCCTCGTGGGGTGTCCCTGATCATGCGAACGGTGAGGAATCATCCCAAAACCACAAGGGGGGAACTGATGAATCAACTGAAGGCAGCTGGGACCACAGTTACAAAAGAAACGGTTAGTAACACACTACGCCGTCATGGATTGAAATCCTGCAGCGCACGCAAGGTCCCCCTGCTCAAGAAGAAACATGTACAGGCCCGCATGAAGTTCACCATTCACCACCTGGACGACTCAGAAGAGGCCTGGAAGAAGGTGATGTGGTCAGATGAGACCAAAATAGAACTTTTTGGCCTCAACGCAACTCGTCGTGTTTGGAGGGCAAAGAACACCGAGTACAACCCAAAGAACACCATCCCCACCGTCAAGCATGGTGGTGGCAACATCATGCTTTGGGGGTGCTTTTCAGCCAAGGGGACGGGACAACTCCATCGTATTGAGGGGAGGATGGACGGGGCCATGTATCGTGGAATTCTGGACCAACATCTCCTTCCCTCAGTGAGAGAGCTGAAGATGGGTCGAGGATGGGTGTTTCAGCACGACAACGACCCTAAGCACACCGCCAAAGCAACAAAAGAGTGGCTGAAGAAGAAGCACATCAAGGTTCTGGAGTGGCCTAGCCAGTCTCCAGACCTGAATCCAATTGAAAATCTTTGGAGGGAGCTTAAAATTCGAGTTGCCAGGCGACAACCTCGGAACCTGAATGATTTGGAGGCTGTCTGCAGGGAGGAGTGGGCCAACATCCCTGCCGAAATGTGCACAAACCTTGTCACCAACTATAAAAACCGTTTGACATCTGTGCTGGCCAATAATGGCTTTTCTACAAAATATTAACATGCTGTTTGTCCAGGGGGTCAAATACTTGTTTTTCCTCATCAGATGGTTATCAATTTTTATAAATTCATATGATGTGATTTTCTGGAATTTTCTTTGGGATTCTGTCTTTCACTGTTAGAATGTACATATGATTAAAATTATAGATCGTTGCATTCTTTGTAATTGGGCAAACCTGCAAAATCAGCAAGGGGTCAAATACTTATTTCCCCCACTGTATGTCAGCTGTATGTTTGTCTGTGTGTAGCACCATATCACCAAAACAAATTCCTCATATGTGTTAAACACTACTTGGCACTTGCTAGCTTTGACTCTGTTCTGCTATTGACCTCATCTGTACTGTCTGTCTCACGTTCACCATGTCAGCACTAGTACTGGTGCTGCTGGCCAGTGGCAGGTAGAGTACTCAAAATCTTTACTCAAGAAAAAGTACAATTACTCCCATAAAAAGTCAAAGAAAAAAATGACAAACCTACTCATGTAAAAGCATAATAATATATTCTATCTGCTGTTCATCGGGTTCGAAACAGCTGCTGTGCAACAGGTTATTTCTAGGGAATGCAATTTGCTTTGCTGGCTGATTATCTTTAGCTATTTCTGTTAATAATTATTTTCCTTTTTAAATCTCTATGAAGGTGTTGATAAGATCACTTTAAAATATTAGCTTGCTGCCCAGCCGGCTATTGTTGTCTGTATCTTTTATTATGGACATGTAGCCAACCAAACCACTTGCTTTGCAGCAGCACAGGCAGCCAAAACAATCTGATTATTCCTAAAGCATCTAAATAATCTTTACAACGCAAAGAATTATTGTGGCAGTTATGGGAGCAGCTCTTTGTTGAAGCAGGTAAACCTGCATGCAGAGGAAGCTGTGCGTCATGCGTAAAACCCAACAGGACAGGTTTTATCCACCATATTTTCTCTCTCTGTGCGTCTCAAAAATGATTGTTTCCTGAATAAATAACAGCTGGTAGCTGCTGAGTGAAAGCTATTAAACAGTAACCAATGTAAAAAAAAAAAAACAACCCCAAACAAACACAAAAACAGGCTAATATCCATCAAAAGAAAGCGATGCTCTTTTCAACAACAGGATACTGTTGATATATCAGAATCATTCTAGTGATCATCAGACTTAGATGTTACAGTGTGAAGTTTACGTTTTCTCTGCAGAGACTAAAGACGCTTTTAATGCGCCGTTAATGGAAAGTGAAAGTAGGTGCCGGCCGGCTTATTCAAGAGCGACGCAGGCTGCTTTCCAACAGGCCACCACAGCCATGGAGTGCGCTCACTGGATTTCAGTTGTTTCAGTAGAACAATATAGAATTTAATTGAAAAGGTATTTGCCTGATTTTCTAAATGTTACATCTGCCCAGCTCATTCATATCTGTGAAAAGCGCCGTATCTGTACCACAGAGGAGACCTGGCGCTCTTCTGCGTAACTGCGCGCACGCAGCCTGGCTGACTGCTCATTCGGTTAGGGAAGCCTATAGCAGATTACAGACTGGTGAAATTATGAAGATATGAATGGAAAATGTAGCGAAATTAAAAGTAGATTACTGGCCCATAGAAAACACTGGATTAAAGAGTAAAAGTAGGCTACAGTTTTAAAAAAGGAACGTGAAAAGGTGCCAATTATTTTTTTTATTTTGTAAAATTAAATTACTTGTAACAAGTCACTACCCACCCTGCAGCAGGCGTCCCCACTGCTGTCTTCAGGTACAAAAAGAACAGCACAAAATAATATTGAGGCACTTTGCTGCACCCACTTCGAGCAAACTCTTTTTTTTCTCCCTTAACTTTTCAGCACCACGTTTGCCTTCTGTCTCATGTTTTCTTCAGGCCTACATGATTTTTGTCCGCGTTTCAACAGTTTAATCATGTCTGATGCGGAGTGTGTGATTGACTGATTAACTAGTCACTCAAACCGCCTGGCTATGAGCAATCTCCAAAATCGCCGAAAAAGGTGAGGGGGACAAAACACAGATTTTGAAATGTTGGGGGGACATGTCCCCCTCACGTATAATGCTCCTACGCTAATGGGCTGCAGGTCGGACAGTTATGTTGAGCCTTGATCGGTAGCTACAGCACACGTGAAACTCAACCATGATGATATGGGAATAATATAGCTCACTCTTTAGCGACTTCCATTCACTATACATGTAGTTTACTTTTGTTGTCATATATAGCCTATTAGATTATGTGCTGGGCCACATGGAGGTTGCTTTGGGCGGATGTGGCCCGCGGCCGCCAATTCAATGGGGCTGCTGTAGACTTTTCGTTCAGTGGGGGGGCCATAGGGGGGTCCAAGGTCTGCATTACAGAGGGACTGGCCCCTGTTGCCCCACCCCCCAAAAAACAAAAAACCGCCACAGGTTATGCCTGCCTATTACGCCCTCTCTTTAGTGATGGGAAAAGTCACTCTTTTGAAAGACTCCAGTCACCAAATCTCGTTCATTAAAATGAACTAATCTTTTTTTGTGGCATTTCCTTCATTTTAACTAGGCTGGTTATTGCGGCGCTGCAGCCCTCTAGTGTAAAAACCACAGAAATATGTTGTCAATATTCGATTAAGCCACTACTCCGACTTAATCTGTCCATTTTCACAATCTTTCCTGAGTATACTACCAGACCAGCCATATATATATAATTATAACTATCCCTATATTTCTTAAGTGCTCATTCATACAGCAGCCTAACGCCTATCCATGAGTAAAATCTATATATTAACATCAGATTTACAGGGAATATATTGAAGTCTTATTAAATGTCACAAAATGATCAAAATAGATATTAGATATATGTCAGTCCAGTGACTGTTACCTGACAACAGACCTGCCTCTCATTCATCCCAGTGAAGACAGACTCCCAGGAGGACCCATGTGAGCGCTGAACGATTAGGTCATTCCTGCTCCACAGTAGCCGAGATGTCACGTGAAAAATGAACGACTCAAACCCAGAGACCCACAGTTACGAGTCCTGAACTAATCAATTCTGTTTCCTGTGCTGACGGAAACCTTGCGGCTGCTGTGTAACGAGTGAACGTAAGAGTCCAAGACTATACACGCGTGTGTGAAAATGAACAAATCACTCACTGAGACAACCCGTTCCTCCTGGGTCACATACAAGATTAGGTCAAATGAACGAAACGTTCTTTAAACGACACAACACTACTTCTCTTGTCCTGGCCAGCTTCACCCAGTCACCCACTCCTTTGCGTTTGGAACTGATGAGTTCTGATTTGTTTTATTTTTATCTTTCCTTGTTACCAGAATAAATCTTTGGACTTTGAGGTTTCCTCTGATTGTTTTACGAGTGGTATTAGTGAGTTATTGTCTGGTTTGTGTCAGTGAGCGAAACAACAGACCTATATCTTTTGTATTGTTTCAGATGTATCCCAAAATAATAATCTTGACACCCACTTTCCTCTTATAGGTCAGAAGAATTACAGACCATAAGGACCCAGTTCTCAAAGAGGTCCCTGAAGGGAGAAATACCCTTTGACTACCAATGTCTGAACCTTGAATCTATTAGACACCTGATATAAAATTAGGCTTGTTAATGATTGGAGTGAGGATGGATGTTAACCCTGATCTTCTTCAATACGCTGAACTGCACAATTACAATTCATCCTACTTGATACTAAAGCTGGCCCATTGTTGGCCTGACCAACAGATCTGGAAGAAGATTTCTGCGAAGAGATTCAAAATGACCACAAAGAGATGCATTACAATGTCAGAGCTCATTTTTTCAATTTCTACAACTTAAGGCAATTTAACATAAGCAAAAGCACAAACAGGAAATACACCAGTTAGAAAAATACTGCAGTTACAAGCTATTTTATATCATGGAAATGAAAACAGGGGCAAATATGGTAGGAATGTGGTTCAGAGAGGCGTTTTCCATTAATAAACCATTATATAATAATCCATTTCCTATAAGGGCCTAAAATCATTGTGCTGCTGGCTGACAGGAAAGACACACAACATCGTTTCTGTGATGACCGCACCTCAATTAATACATCCTCTCTGACTGTAAACGAAAGTAAAGAAAAGGTGCACGAAGTGAAACGAAAGTGAAAAATGAACACACCTTTACAGTTTTTCCTCCCAAAGCCTGAAGGTCCTTATAAAGAGCCGAGTGAACTCACAGCCTGCAGTCTTGGAAGAACCTGAAGAGAGGTACGTGAACACACACAGTCTGTATGTATTTATATAAAGTTTTATCAGTGTGAGGAGATGAATTTAGTTAGTGTGATAGAAACTGTGCTCTTAAACCGCCAGTGTTGAGTCGGACTCAAATGTGAACTTCCTGACTGATAAAAGCAGATTTATGGTGTTTGCCTGAACGATCACCCTTTGGAACTGTGTTTGATCTCATTAAGAAGCTGCAGCCAAACTGTGATCTTATCAGAAACTAAGCAATTAGTTAAATATTTAATTTCATAAACTATAGGAAACAACATTTTAATAAGGTAACAGTTGGAAAAATCTTTAACAGCTACGGACAGTTCAATTTCATTTCCCAGTTAAAGAAGTTTTGAGGGAGTTTTCTGACTGGATGGTTTAAAGTTTCCACTTCACCTGACTTATTTTTATCTTCTAACTCTCTGGGGCTGTACTTAAACACAGCTGTGCTTTGAGATAAATGTTAACGTGAGTGTGTAACATGGTCACAATGACAATGTTGAAATACTGATGTTTAGCAGGTACACACCCTAATGTTAACCATTAGTGACCCCTATACTATTGTTATTCACTAGTTAGCATTAAAGATAAACTACAACTAAAGCTGATGGGAATGTCATTAGTTTTGCCATTGGCCCAAAAAGTATTTTTGTATTGGCCAAATAAAATTTTTGACCTGATTCTGGTGCTGAAAGTCAGAGAACACCAAAGTGATAAATATGTGTATCAAATGTAATGGCGCTTCCATCCAAATAGTTAAAGACGTTTTACCAGATCGGTGGACATTTGGAGCCGATCGTGCCACTAGAACAAATTTCAGGGGATCATCAAAGTCAAATTTATGGTGGCGCTAGAGGAAAAGCATTTTTTGATGGGGGCTTGCGAACAAAACGCTAAACTGCAATGGTAAACATTATTGCCTGTTAAACCTAAGCATTTTAGCAATGTCATTGTGAGCAGTCAGACTGTTTGAAAAAAAGTGGCCTTGGCTCAACTTTTGCCGGGGCACAATGTGATGTGTTGTTTTACTTTTGATGGAGGCTAAATGGGTTTCCTCTGCTTCTTTCAGTTATTGTGCTAAGCTAGGCTATATACACCCAGAACTTGAAAATGGATCTTAAATACTGTAGTACATTGTAGAATAGTTTCTTAATTTTATGGTCTCATCTCTGTATTGATTTTTTTGCAGTGATGTTTAGTTTCTTCACATGGAATCCTTTACACTAACAATCCTCTTTCCTACAGAGATACTGACACCAACATGCAGTACCAGTGGGCTGAAGATGACTTTGATCTGCCCCCTGGGGTCGGTCGACTGGGCCTCTCTGAGCCAGTTAGTGGTAGAAAGTACGTCATGTACCACGGCACCACCAGCAAGGCTGCTCAGGCCATCCGAGCCACAGGTTTTCAGCAGTCTGCAGACGGGATGCTCGGCCGCGGCGTCTACCTCAGCAGAGACCTGCAGAAAGCTAGCCGCTATCCCATTGATCACCCTGAGTCTGACAGGGTGGTTATTAAGGTAACGGTCAACGTGGGGAAGGTGATCGCCATCAATCGTCAAGGCCATCCACTTCAGAAGACCTGGCATTCCCATGGCTATGACACCGCCTGGGTGCCACCTGGGTGTGGGATGGTGAAGAGCGGTTTGGAAGAGAATTGTGTCTGGGATCCCCAAAGTATCAAGATCAATAATACCATCAAACCACGCCCAGTCCAACCCTACTATGGATGTGGTGCCCGAGGCTACATGTGAGCTCTACGAGATGTTACCAATTTATTTTGAACGTTCAAATGTGTTTTTATATATTTGGATAAAATGTAAAATGATATTTTGTTACGATGTCATTTTAACTTGGAAAATAAATGGGTCATGTTAAATCTGAGCTGCTGTCTGGTTTGTTGAAAGTTTCTTAATCATTTCCCCCTTCATTGGGGATTCATGTTTCACAACAGCTTTCACTGAAACTATGTTCTACAAAGAAACAGTTTGTGTAACAGAGTTTACATGGGAAACAGTCTTATGTCACAGTTGTGAGAGGTAAACTTAAAGGTTAGCATGTCCACCACTGACACTGCATTACAGAAGAGTCAGAGTCAGAACCACCAGGAGGATCACCTGATCACACCTGAGACAGGAAGTGGAAGAAAACAAGCACCCTGCTCGCTCCGCTACATTTGTTTGACAGCTATTATAATTACAAGTTATTTTATTACAAATTAAGATTTTACATGAGCTTATAAAATATAATGCACTGTTAACCAACCCAACAGCATATAAAATATAGAAAACTAGCTCCGTCTTCACCATCTATGGTTATGATTATGATATTATATAAAAATGCATTAACCAATAATATGATAGAATAACGCTCATAGTTAATCTTGTGTTGATTCTTTTTATACTTAAAAGATAGAGTGCAGGACTTTTACATGTAAATGAACGTCTTTTACATTTATTACCTCACCAAATTAGTTCAAATGCCGATTAATTCTATCATCTCCAGGTAAATCTTAATTTATTTTTGTTTTAGAAATTAGCCTGTGCAGCCTGCCATGACTCTATGGTACAAAATAAAAGCCAATACAATATGATTATTCCTAAAGCATCTATGAAAAGAATTATTGCAGCAATAAAAGGAGTAGCCCGTTGCTGAATGAGGTAAACCAATATGACCTGTGTGTCACTCGTGAAGCTCAACAGGACTGTTGTATCCACAATTGTATCCATGATTTTTTGCTGCAATCACGACATGCAAACAAACTGTATTCAAAATATTAAACTAAACAACAAAAATGCAAATTAAGTCAGGCAGACTGTGTCCAAGGTGGGTTCCTTTGAACAGTGGGCCTGGGCGTCCGAACCACCTGCCAAAAGTAGCAGTGGAAGGCGATGGCTTAAACTGTTCCTATCTGTAGTTTTTGTTCACATAGAGTCTAACGTTAGCTGTGACGTATTAGCAAACATTAACACTAGTTAAAGCGGACCTCTAACCCAGCCCGGTTCTATGTGAGAAAACAGCAGCAGAGAGAAACAGAATTTCTTCGGAGCTGACGAGAGGACGGCTGGTTCTGCTGTATGCAGATGCCAATCATGCTGTATTTGCCCCCCGCCCCCAGACCTTACTCGAGCTTCTCAGCCAATCACTGCACGATAAATGTCTTACCTTCCTTTTCCACTATACTTCTTCCGTTTCCACTATACTTTTGTCTCACACATACATATATTCTTCTCTTACATGCATATTAAATTATATTAAATTTACACATTAACTGCATGTGCATGATCAAAATATGTGAATGTGTACATTAAAATATATGTATGTGAAAGGAGAATATATGTATGTGAGAGGTCAAGAATAGATAATGGCTCGTACGGCCCCTCATAGTTTTTGTTACCTTTGAGTCCTTCATGACACGTTTACCCTAATTAGGTTATTTTATTATTCGTAGCAGTATTGTTTATATATGTTTATTATAATAATAATAATAATAATATAATAATAATAATCCTTATTTGTAGAGCACTTTTCAAAAACAAGTTACAAAGTGCTTTAACAAGTGTAAAGAATAATACAAAAAAAAAGATAAGAGCATGAAAATTTAATATAAAATTAGTAAAATACAATAAAATAAAAGGGATAAAATAAAGTCAAATAAGATCGGGAAAAGCTCTCCTATAAAAGTATGTTTTAAGAAGGGACTTAAAAGAGTTCACTGACTCAGCCGACCTGATTTCCTTGGGCAGGCTGTTCCAGAGCCTCGGGGCCCTGACAGCAAACGCTCTGTCCCCTTTAGTTTTCAGTCGAGACTCTGGAACAGACAACAGACCTCTGCCCGAGGATCTCAAGGTACGTGCTGGTGTGTATGGGACTAAAAGGTCAGAAATATAACAAGGAGAGAGGCCATGAAGAGCTTTAAAAGTGATCAATAGAATTTTAAAGTCAATTCTAAAACATACTGGGAGCCAGTGTAATGAAGCTAAAATAGGAGTAATGTGGTCATATTTCTTTGTTCTGGTTAAAAGCCTGGCAGCTGAGTTCTGGACAGTCTGGAGTCAATCAATAGATTTTTGGGTTAAACAGGTGAAAAGGCTGTTGCAATAATCCAGGCGTGATGAGATGAAGGCGTGTAAAATGGTCTCGGTGTCCTTAAAAGTTAACATAGATCGAATTTTAGCTATATTTCTAAGTTGATAAAAACATGATTGAACAAGCTTTGTGGTGTGCTGCTCGAAATTTAAATTACTATCAAACCAAACACCAAGGTTCTTTGCCACAGGCTTAATGTGATTTACTAGGGAACCAGCAGATGGCAGTATTTGATTTGCCATCTGCTGGGACCCGATGACCAGGATTTCTGTTTTGTCTGAGTTCAGCTGGAGGAAATTATTTGACATCCATGTTTTAACTTCACAAAGGCAGTTGTTAAGTGAACTCAGCATTCCAGGGTCTGTGGATCTGACGGGCAAGTATATTTGTGTGTCATCAGCATAAATATGAAAAGAAATGCCATGTTTATGGATAATATGTCCAAGGGGAAGCAGATACAAGGAAAACAAAATGGGTCCTAAGACCGACCCCTGAGGCACACCATATTTAACTGGACAGAACGAAGAGACATAGTTGTTTACAGACACGCAAAACTTCCTATTTGACAGGTAGGATGAAAACCATTCTAGAGCAGTACCAGAGATCCCCACCCAGTGCCTCAGTCTGTCTAACATGATGTTGTGATCAATGGTGTCAAAAGCAGCGCTAAGGTCCAGGAGTACAAGGACTGAGCACATGCCTTCATCAGCAGACATTAAAAGGTCATTGGTGACTTTAAGCAGGGCAGTCTCAGTGCTGTGGTACTTCCTAAAACCAGACTGAAACTTTTCAAATATTTTGTTATTTTCCAGCACAGTGAGCAGCTGTTTGGACACAATTCTTTCTAGAATCTTTGCAATAAAAGGCAGTTTTGAAATTGGTCTAAAATTATGTGGGAGGGAGGGATCTAAACCAGGTTTCTTTAAAAGTGGGTTCACGCAAGCCGTTTTAAAATAATCAGGGACACAACCAGTAGATAGGGAGCTGTTGAAAACAGAGATCAAATGGGGCCCAACAGAATCTATTACTTTTAGTAAAAATTTTGTAGGTATAACATCAAGTGGGCTGGAGGACACTCTCATTTGTGATATTGTTTTTAAAAGCTCAGACAAGTCGATTATTAATCAGGGACAAACTGCTGACTGGTTCATTCTGTGTTTCTCTGTCTGTGGGTTAATCACTCAATAATCCGTGTTGCGAAGTTTTAAGATTATTCTTATTATGGCTATTCTCATATACATGTATATTTATTTATATACGTTATGTTAGTATGTTTTTGCAGACGACCATGTTTGATAAATGTGACATGCAAATCCATGTAATAAACCTTTTGTTTTAAATGTTGACTCATTTAAAAAAGACAATGACCACACCACACATCCTAATGTGTATTTAGGAGTTATTTAAATGTATGTAACATAATCCTTCATACTGTAGAAGGTTCTGAAAGGGGTTTTCAGTTGCTAAACTTGTTTCATCTTGATAGTCTCATTTATTGTCTCCACTGTTATGCCCGCCTATTACGCATTCCCATCACCCACCTGTCACCACCCCTAATTAGAGTTATATTAATAATAATAATAATAATAGGACTAGGTTAATTGGTGACCCTAAATTGTCCTTAGGTGTGAGTGTGAGCGTGAGTGGTTGTTTGTTTACGTGTGGCCCTGCGATGGACTGGCGACCTGTCCAGGGTGTACCCCGCCTTTTGCCCGATGTCAGCTGGGATTGGCTCCAGCCCCCCGCGACCCTGTACGCAGGATAAGCGGTTGACGATGGATGGATGGAATAATAATAGGACAAGTAATAACAGTGTAGCCGTGGGTTCTGAGCAGGAACATGGCAGCAGTAGCAGTAAGTCACTCGAAAACCACAGATCCAGAATCCACAGCTCCAGAGCCAGAAACACCTGCAGAAAGTGATAGGAGAGGGACGAGCGAGCGCAAAACTACGAGGGAAGAAGTCAAGTTAGTAACATGAATTAATGACATACAGTTGCATATAGATGAAGAGAGAGGAGCTCAGTGCATCATGGGAAGTCCCCCAGCAGTCTAAGCCCACAGCAGGTCAGGTCAGAAGAATTAAAAGCCATAAGGACCCCATCCTCAAAGAAGTCACTAAAGGGTGAAATACCCTTTGAGTCCAAATGTCTGAAACCTGATTCTATAAGAGACCTGTTATAAAATCAGTGTTATTAATAATTGAAGTGAAAGTGAATGTAAACCCTAATTTTTCTTCAATAGGCTGTTCTGCATAATTACAATTTAAAAACAAAATTAGACTTTGTATTTCTTCCAGTATTGTAATTTATTGTATCTTCATCTTATGGAGCCCGAAGGGGTCTGGAGCAAGATTACTGCAAAGAGGGTCAAAATGACCACAAAGAAACCCACATCGACTACAAAGAGACACAAAACGACCACCAGGGAGACAAAATGTCTACAGAGAGACGAAAACAACTACAACTGTCATCCTCATTTCTTCAAATCTCTACAACAGAGGTGGTGAGTTAGCATAAACCACAGGGTCACAATGAGGACATTTACAGGAAATACACCAGGTTTAAATATACTGCAGTTACAAGCCGTTTTATTTCATGGAAATGAAAACTAACGCACGAGCACAAAGAAAACCTGAGCAAATCTGGTAGGAATGTGGTTCTGAAAGGTTTTCGCAGCTGCCAAACCTGTTTCCACATAATAATGCAAACGTTACGGTTAGGAAGCTCATCTGCCACTATACATGAAGCGCAAAATTCTACTTTGTCCTTTTTCTTACATGTGACAAATTGTAAAAACATACATTTGTGCCCCAATAAGGAAGGAAAAGTCCCATAAGTGCAATACCCACATCTGCCTGTAACAGCCTAAAATCACTGATCACTGTGCTGCTGGCTGACTGAAACCCAACATCATTGCTGTCTTGACCACACCTATATACATATATATAAATGCCTCTCCGACTGTAAACAAAAGAAGAGAAGATACATAGAAGTGAAACCAAAGAGGATGATGGACGCACCTTTAAGAAAATTCCTCCCAGAGGTCCTTATAAAGAGGCGAGTGAACTCACACCTGCAGTCTTGGAAGAACCTGGACAAAGGTACGTGAACACACAGTCTGCATTTTTACATAAAATATTATCAATATGAGGAGATGAATTTAGTTAGTACGAGACCATCAGTGAAATATATTGAGTCTGACTCAACTGTGAGCTTCCTGACTGATAAAAGCAGATTCATGGTGTTTGCCTGAACGATCACACTTTGGAACTGTGTTTAATCTCATTAAGAAGCTGCAGCCAAACTGTGATCTTATCAGAACCAAAGCTAAATGTAAAAGTTAACCATACACTCGCATAAACTATAGGAAACATAATTTAAAAAAGTCTTTGACAGCTACGGACAGTTTAATAAATAAATATGTGTATCAAATGTAACAGCAAACCATCCAAAAGATGATGAGACGCTTCAACAGATCAGTGGACCTGTTGGTTACACTGGAACAAGTTTAAGGGGATCATCAAAGTCAATGTTATGGTGGCGCTGGAGGAAAAGTATTTTGTGTTGGGTGGTAATTGCATGCTATTACGCAAATGGTACCAACAAGCTAAACTATGATGGTGAACATAGTAAACATTACACACCTGGTAAACATTAGCATATTAGCCATGTCATTGTGAGCATGTGTGTGAAATCAATGCGTCCAAACGTTTCACCTGGCTCAACTTCTGCCTGACCACAATATGACGTCTTGTTTCACTTTTGATGGAGCTATAGCTAACGAGTTTCCTCTGCTTCTTCCGGTCTTTGTGATAAGCTAGACTGAACATCCAGAACTTTAAATGGATCTTAAATACTGTAGTGTGTTGCTGAATACTTTCTTAACTTTCTGGTCTCATTCCTGTATTGTTTAATTTGCAGTGATGTTTAGTTTCTTCACACGGAATCCTTCTGAACTCTTTACACTAACAATCCTCTTTCCTACAGAGATACTGACACCAACATGAGCCAGTACGAGTGGGCTGAAGATGACTTTGATCTGCCCCCTGGGGTCGGTCGACTGGGCCTCTCTGAGCCAGTTAGTGGTAGAAAGTACATCATGTACCACGGCACCACCAGCGAGGCTGCTCAGGCCATCCGAGCCTCAGGTTTCAGGCAGTCTGCAGACGGGATGCTCGGCCGCGGCGTCTACCTCAGCAGAGATCTGGGGAAAGCTAGCCGCTATCCCCTTAATCACCCTGAGTCTGACAGGGTGGTTGTTGTGGTGGAGGTCAACGTGGGGAAGGTGATCGCTATCAATCGTCAAGGCCATCCACGTCAGAAGACCTGGCATGACTTCGGCTATGACACCGCCTGGGTGCCACCCAGGCGTGGAATGGTGCCAAGTGGTTTGGAGGAGGATTGTGTCTGGGATCCCCAAAGAATCCAGATCATTAAAACCATCAAACCAAGCCCAGTTGAACCCTCCTCTGGATGTGGTTGGATGTGATGTGGGCTACATGTGAGCTCTTTATTTATTTTCTATGTTCAAATGTATTTTTGTATTTATGGATAAAAAGTAAATGCCGGGTCACGTTAAATCTGAGCTGCTGTCTTGGTTTGTTGATAGTGACATATATTTTTATTTTAGGATGTCCGCCTCTGAAACATGCTGCTGCTTCTCTAATATTATGTGTGAATGAAGTGAATGAAATGTTGGATTCACAAGACTACCAAAGAAATGGTCATGACTTTTACTAAAGTGGACAGTCTGTATAATAACTCCACAGCTGTTTTTACACTGCTGTTTCCAGTTGTGCTAAGCTAAGCTAACTGATCATATTTATCGTAAAAGACATCACGAGAGTTGTATCAATTGAATAATAAGTGTATTTTCCAATATGTTTAACTATTCCTTTAATATATAATCCAAGTTAATTGTCTCATATCATATTTGTTAATATATTTATTATATATATATTTATTTAATTTAGATGTTAATTCTCTTTTGTAGAGCTTAAGCCACACACACATCTACATTACCAAGAAATGCATGAAAATAAAAATTAGTCTGTATTGTGACTTTGGAGTCCTTCCTTATTGGTCTCTCCTCATACTTCAGCTTAACATTAAAGGTTCAGATCCCAACAGGGGCCAAAGACACATGAGCTTCAGACGGCTTTTAAAATGTCCGGTCTGAACCCAACATCACATGCAGCTATAAGGAGGTTTTTATTAGTAGTAGTATAATTTATATATTTATGAATGGGGGGACAAACTGCTGACTGGTTCTTAAAATCTGTGTTTCTCTCTCTGTGGGTTAATCACTCACTAATCCATGTTAGGACAAGAACCTTTGACAATATGGTCATTCTCATATGCAGTCATGTCAGTAGTTTGTTTTTGCCATCAACTAACTATATGTGACAAATGCGACATGTAGATCCGTGTAATAAACATTTTGTTTTAAATGTTAGCTCATTTAAAAAACAGTGATCACGCCACGTATCCTAATGTGTAAAGTTATTTTGAGGAATGTAACATAATCCTTCATACTGTAGGAGGTTCTGAAAGGTGTTTTCAGTTACCAAACCAGTTTCCTCTTGATAGTGATGTCTGATTAACTGTCTCCACTGTTATACCTCACCTGGCCAGCTTCATCCAGTCACCCACCTGCTTGGGGCAGAAACTGATGAGTTCTGATTAGTTCCCCTTCGAGGGAACTCGAACTGCGTCGGTTACGACACTATGGGAACGCCTCTAGGCGAAGCAGGTCTGAACGTGAATGAAATCACTCCAATCCTATTGGCCTGTTGCTAGAACGGTAAGGTGTGACGGAATAACCGGAGGAGTATAAAGCACACCTGTACACACTCATCATTAGCTTTTTTCTATTCAGCAGGCGCTCTGTATGTTGTTTGAAGAAAGCTCCAGTCCTACAAGCAGTGTGTCTTACCTGAAGAAGAAGTCTACCAGCATGTCCGGCAACCAGATGTACAGAAGGTGTGTTTTTTCTTGCCCTCGGTACATCACGGATGGAGATTCTCATGAGATGTGTGTCTCATGTTTGGGGATGGAGCACGCCCGGGCAGCTCTCGAGGGGGCTGCCTGCGCCCGTTGCGAAGCCCTTTCCGTGCGGGTACTGAGGTACAGCATGGCTCTCTTTTCCGAGGATGGCCGGATGTGTTTTCCCCGTGGTGCGGGCCCTGCGGCCGCTGAGGCGGCCCAGCGGTTTCACTCATGGGTTCACAGCGTGATCTGTCGGAGGATTTCGGGACGGCTGAGGCTTTTTCCCGACCTTCATCCGCTGGCTCCGACGCTTCCTTTCCTCGTTCGGGAGCCCGTTCTCGGCTTCTCCCGCTCGCGGTTTGGATCCGGAGACGCTGCAGCAATCCGACTCCGAGGAGGCAGACATGCTCAGCGCAGTGGACGATGACTTCCGGGTGTCGGGGCGGCGTCATCTGGCCGCGCCCGACTATGACGTGCTGCTGGAGGTGGTGACTAGAGCCGTGGCTAAGCTCAACTTCAACTGGCCGGAAAAAAAAATAAATAAAGAGAAAAGAGGAGCAGACACCACAGGCTAGTGGTAGCTTGATGAAAGGTTTCTTAAGCACCACACGCCACCTCCACGCCGGTCTCTGCCATTCTTTCCTGAAAAGAAAGTACATGATGAACTGAGTAATCATGGGGCAGACCCTTCTCTACATGGCTTTCCACACCCCGATCACTGAACTACAGTAATGTGATGGGGGTTAGGGACCGTGGTTATGGGAGGATGCCTCAGGTGGAGGATGAGCTTGCGAGCTATCTCTCCCCTCGACTTGCGTCCTCCCTGGAGAAGCCGGCGTTACCATCCAAACCATGTTGCACCACATCCACGCTCGTGGGGAAGGCGTACATGGCAGCGGGCCAGGCAGATGCAAGCTTGCACACCACGGTGCTTCAAGTCTACCAAGCCAACCTGCTACAGGAGATGGTTCAGAGGGGGGGTCCCTCCGAGGAAGATCTGGCGGAGCTTCGCAGAACCACGAAGCGTTAGACGCAGTGTGAAGCGTTCCGCCAGTACCTCCCTCGCCGGTCTGGACCCAAGGCAGATGAGGCTGCCAGGCGTAGGTCCCTTCCCTCTACGAGCTCCTACGGAGAGGAAGCAGAGTGTCGCTTCTCGGGGGCCCCCCCGAGGAGCTGGGGCAGCGAGACGGCGCTCTCAACCTCAGCCTTCTGTGAGACGCGATCTGAGGACCGTCATCCAGTCCCGACGGAGCTCAGGGAAGACCGGGGTAGGGGAGTCTTTCTCCCCTCCCGCACCCTCCCCACCCCCCCCGGAGGCCGACCGAGGTCCCCTCCGCCGTGGCAACAGGTGATGTTATCCCGCCGTTTACACGTTCAGGACGCACCTGCCACCATCGAGTCCGCGCCGTACTGCCTGCCCCGAAGGTCTGCAGGCGGACGGCATCCCGACTCACTCACCGTGGATCTTCGGCGGCTCCCCCCTGCCGTTCTGGGGCTTCAGGGGTCCACCAGAAGATCACACGAGACACCGACCACCAGCCCCGAGGGGCTGGTTCCGTTGGCAGACTTTGCAGACGCTTGGCGGAGCCTGACGAACATTTCTCCGCGGGTCCTGCGCACTGCCATAGATGGGTATCGACTACAGTTCAGAACCCGCCCTCCAAATTCAACAGAAGAGAGGGGGTGGTTTGGACTGTGGTCCGCCCGGAGCAAGGTCCGGTGTTGGGACAGGAAGTTTGTACTCTGCTGAGGAAAGGGGCCGTGGAACGTGTCTCCCCCCCAGACAGAGACGCCGGTTCTACAGCCGGTACTTCATAGTCCCCAAGAAGGACGGAGGGCTGCGTGCCCTATTTTGGATCTGCGGGTTCTAACCGGTCTCTGAGGAGATTCAGGTTAAAGATGCTCATCATCCCCGCCACCGTGACGCACATCCAATCTGAGGATTGGTTCGTCACGATAGATCTAAAGGACGCCTATTTCCAGGTCTCCATCCGTCCTTCTCACAGGAAGTTCCTGAGGTTTGCCTTCGGGGGTGTGGCTTACCAGTATCGGGTTCTTCCATTCGGCCTGGCACTTTCCCCTCGCACATTCACCAAGTGTATGGATGCAGCACTGGCCCCGCTGAGGCTCCGGGGCATCCGGATTTCAACTTCATCGACGACTGGCTCATCCTAGCCCAGTCTCGAGAGTTGGCGGTTCGGCATCGAGATGTCGTTCTGGCTCATCTGCGGCGTTTAGGGCTGAGGCTCAACGCAAAGAAGAGCGTGCTGGCGCCCACCCTACGGGCTACGTTCCTAGGGGTTGCATGGGATTCGACAACGATGCGGGCACAATTGTCTCCGGCACGTGTCGACACCATATTGGCTGCCGTGAAAGGGGTGAAGTTAGGCCACGCCATCACTATGAAACACTTTCAACGAGTGTTGGGTCTCCTGGCGGCTGCGTCCAGCGTAATACCATCTGGACTGCTGCACATGAGACCCCTGCAGTGGTGGCTAAGGAACAAGGGTTTTTCCCCGAGGGGAATCCTCTCCGTCTGGTTTGGGTTACGCGCAAGTGTCTTCGTTCCCTATCAGTTTGGAAGGAAACTTGGTTCCTGTCCCAGGGGCCCGTGCTGGGAGGGTCTTGTCGCCGGCTGGTTCTTTCGACAGACGCCTCCCTCACGGGCTGGGGCGCGGTCATGGACGGCCGCTTTGCAAGGGGATCCTGGCAGGTGCATCGATCCGAGTGGCATATCAACTGTCTCGAGATGTTGGCGGTGTTCCAGGCTCTAAGGAGTTTCCTGCCCGATCTCCAAGGCCACCACGTCCTGGTTCGTTCCGAGGAGAACAACACAGCGGTGGTGGCCTATCTGAATCACCAGGGCGGTCTGCGCTCGCGCCCTCTGGACAGACTGGCGCGTCAGATCCTCCTGTGGTCCCAGCAGAGGTTACTATCGCTCAGGGCGATGTATCTCCTGGGGACGCAGAATCAGGGAGCAGACCTGCTGTTTAGGCAGGGGCTGAGGCCCGGGGAATGGATTTAATTTATTACAAATTAAGATTTTAAGATTTAAGATTTTTTTATTAAGATTTTACATGAGCTTATAAAATATAATGCACTGTTAACCAACCCAACAGCATATAAAATATATAAAAACTAGCTCCGTCTTCACCATCTATGGTTATGAGATGCATCAATGCATCAGTATATAAAAATGCATTAACCAATAATATGATGATGATATACGCTCATAGTCAATTTTCTTGTGATGATACTTTTTATACTTAAAAGATAGAGTGCAGGACTTTTACATGTAAATAACGTCTTTTACATTTATTACCTCACCAAAAGAGTTCAAATGCCGATTAATTCTATCATCTCCAGGTAAATCTTAATTTATTTTTGTTTTAGAAATTAGCCTGTGCAGCCTGCCATGACTCTATGTAATAAAATAAAAGCCAATACAATATGATTATTCCTAAAGCATCTATGAAAAGAATTATTACAGCAATAAAAGGAGTAGCCCGTTGCTGAATGAGGTAAACCAATATGACCTGTGTGTCACTCGTGAAGCTCAACAGGACTGTTGTATCCACAATTGTATCCATGATTTTTTGCTGCAATCACAACATGCAAACAAACTGTATTCAAAATATTAAACTAAACAACAAAAATGCAAATTAAGTCAGGCAGACTGTGTCCAAGGTGGGTTCCTTTGAACAGTGGGCCTGGGCGTCCGAACCACCTGCCACAAGTAGCAGTGGAAGGCGATGGCTTAAACTGTTCCTCTCTGTAGTTTTTGCTCACATCAAAATGTGTGAATGTGTACATTAAAATATATGTATGTGAAAGGAAAATATATGTATGTGAGAGGTCAAGAATAGATAATGGCTCGTACGGCCCCTCATAGTTTTTTGTTACCTTTGAGTCCTTCATGACATGTTTACCCTAATTAGGTTATTTTATTATTTGTAGCAGTATTGTTTATATATGTTTATTAATCAGGGACAAAAAGCTGACTGGTTCATGAAACAAGTCTGTGTTTCTCTGTCTGTGGGTTAATCACTCAATAATCCGTGTTACGAAGTTTTAAGATTATTCTTATTATGGTTATTCTCATATACATGTATATTTATTTATATACGTTATGTTAGTATGTTTTTGCAAAGAACCACGTTTGATAAATGTGACATGCAAATCCATGTAATAAACCTTTTGTTTTAAATGTTGACTCATTTAAAAAAGACAATGACCACACCACACATCCTAATGTGTAAAGTTATTTAAATGTATGTAACATAATCCTTCATACTGTAGAAAGTTCTGAAAGGTGTTTTCAGTTGCTAAACTTGTTTCATCTTGATAGTCTCATTAATTGTCTCCACTGTTATGCCCGCCTATTACGCATTCCCATCACCTGGCCAGCTTCACCCAATCACCCACCTGTCACCACCCCTAATTAGAGTTATATTAATAATAATAATAATAATAGGACTAGGTTAATTGGTGACCTTAAATTGTCCTTAGGTGTGAGTGTGAGCGTGAGTGGTTGTTTGTCTACGTGTGGCCCTGCGATGGACTGGCGACCTCTCCAGGGTGTACCCCGCCTTTTGCCCGATATCAGCTGGGATTGGCTCCAGCCCCCCGCGACCCTGTACGCAGGATAAGCGGTTGAAGATGGATGGATGGAATAATAATAGGACAAGTAATAATACTGTAGCCGTGGGTTCTGAGCAGGAACATGGCAGCAGTAGCAGTAAGTCACTCGAAAACCACAGATCCAGAATCCACAGCTCCAGAGCCAGAAACACCTGCAGAAAGTGATAGGAGAGGGACGAGCGAGCGCAAAACTACGAGGGAAGAAGTCAAGTTAGTAACATGAATTAATGACATACAGTTGCATATAGATGAAGAGAGAGGAGCTCAGTGCATCATGGGAAGTCCCCCAGCAGTCTAAGCCCACAGCAGGTCAGGTCAGAAGAATTAAAAGCCATAAGGACCCCATCCTCAAAGAAGTCACTAAAGGGTGAAATACCCTTTGAGTCCAAATGTCTGAAACCTGATTCTATAAGAGACCTGTTATAAAATCAGTGTTATTAATAATTGAAGTGAAAGTGAATGTAAACCCTAATTTTTCTTCAATAGGCTGTTCTGCACAATTACAATTTAAAAACAAAATTAGACTTTGTATTTCTTCCAGTATTGTAATTTATTGTATCTTCATCTTATGGAGCCCGAAGGGGTCTGGAGCAAGATTACTGCAAAGAGGGTCAAAATGACCACAAAGAAACCCACATCGACTACAAAGAGACACAAAACGACCACCAGGGAGACAAAATGTCTACAGAGAGACGAAAACAACTACAACTGTCATCCTCATTTCTTCAAATCTCTACAACAGAGGTGGTGAGTTAGCATAAACCACAGGGTCACAATGAGGACATTTACAGGAAATACACCAGGTTTAAATATACTGCAGTTACAAGCCATTTTATTTCATGGAAATGAAAACTAATGCACGAGCACAAAGAAAACCTGAGCAAATCTGGTAGGAATGTGGTTCTGAAAGGTTTTCGCAGCTGCCAAACCTGTTTCCACATAATAATGAAAACGTTACGGTTAGGAAGCTCATCTGCCACAATACATGAAGCGCAAAATTCTACTTTGTCCTTTTTCTTACATGTGACAAATTGTAAAAACATACATTTGTGCCCCAATAAGGAAGGAAAAGTCCCATAAGTGCAATACCCACATCTGCCTGTAACAGCCTAAAATCACTGATCACTGTGCTGCTGGCTGACTGAAACCCAACATCATTGCTGTCTTGACCACACCTATATATATATATATAAATGCCTCTCCGACTGTAAACAAAAGTCATAGAAGTGAAACCAAAGAGGATGATGGACGCACCTTTAAGAAAATTCCTCCCAGAGGTCCTTATAAAGAGGCGAGTGAACTCACACCTGCAGTCTTGGAAGAACCTGGACAAAGGTACGTGAACACACAGTCTGCATTTTTACATAAAATATTATCAATATGAGGAGATGAATTTAGTTAGTACGAGACCATCAGTGGGATACACTGAGTATGATTCAACTGTGAGCGTCTTGTTTGATAAAAGCAGAGTTATGGTGTTTTCAGGCCTAAACGATCACACATTGGAACTGTGTTTAACGCACTGTTATGAAATTTCCTCCCAAAGCCTGAAGCTCCTTATAAAAAGCAGATCAGACTCACAGCCTGCACTCTTGGAAGAACGTGGAGAGAGGTACGTGATCACACGTCTGCTGTTTTACATAAAATATTATCAATTTGAGGAGATGAATTTAGTTAGGCTGAAAGAAAATTCTCTTAAACCGTCAGTGAAATATATTGAGTCTGACTCAACTGTGAGCTTCCTGACTGATAAAAGCAGATTCATGGTGTTTGCCTGAACGATCACACTTTGGAACTGTGTTTAATCTCATTAAGAAGCTGCAGCCAAACTGTGATTTTATCAGAACCAAAGCTATATGTAAAAGTTAACCATACACTCGCATAAACTATAGGAAACATAATTTAAAAAAGTCTTTGACAGCTACGGACAGTTTAATAAATAAATATGCGTATCAAATGTAACGGCAGACGTTTCAACAGATCAGTGGACCTGTTGGTTACACTAGAACAAGTTTAAGGGGATCATCAAAGTTATGGTGACTAAACTATGATGGTGAACATAGTAAACATTACACACCTGGTAAACATTAGCATATTAGCCATGTCATTGTGAGCATGTGTGTGAAAGAAATGCGTCCAAACGTTTCACCTGGCTCAACTTCTGCCTGACCACAATATGACGTCTTGATTCACTTTTGATGGAGCTATAGCTAACGAGTTTCCTCTGCTTCTTCCGGTCTTTGTGATAAGCTAGACTGAACATCCAGAACTTTAAATGGATCTTAAATACTGTAGTGTGTTGCTGAATACTTTCTTAACTTTCTGGTCTCATTCCTGTATTGTTTAATTTGCAGTGATGTTTAGTTTCTTCACATGGAATTCATCTGAACTCACTTTACAATTTACACTAACAATCCTCTTTCCTACAGAGATACTGACACCAACATGAGCCAGTACGAGTGGGCTGAAGATGACTTTGATCTGCCCTATGGGGTCAGTCGACTGGGCCTCTCTGAGCCAGTTAGTGGTAGAAAGTACATCATGTACCACGGCACCACCAGCGAGGCTGCTCAGGCCATCCTGGCCACAGGTTTCAGGCAGTCTGCAGGCGGGATGCTCGGCCGCGGCGTCTACCTCAGCAGAGACCTGGAGAAAGCTAGCCGCTATCCCCTTAATCACCCTGAGTCTGACAGGGTGGTTATTAAGGTAGCGGTCAACGTGGGGAAAGTGAAAAGGATCGATTACCAAGATCATCCACTTCAGAAGACCTGGCATGCCCATGGCTATGACACCGCCTGGGTGCCACCCAGGTGTGGGATGGTGAGGAGCGGTTTGGAGGAGGATTGTGTCTGGGATCCCAAAAGAATCCAGATCATTAAAACCATCAAACCAAGCCCAGTTGAACCCTCCTCTGGATGTAGTTTGATGTGATGTGGGCTACATGTGAGCTGTGAGAGCTATTACCAATTTATTTTCTATGTTCAAATGTATTTTTATATATTTGGATACAAAGTAAGTGCCATTTTGTTACTGTGTCATTGTAACCTTGAAAATAAACGTGTCACGTTAAATCTGAGCTGCTGTCTTGGTTTGTTGAAAGTGATACATATTTTTATTTTAGGATGTCCGCCTCTGAAACATCTGCTGCTTCTCTAATATTATGGAAGTGAATGAAATGTTGGATTCACAAGAGTACCAAAGAAACGGTCATGACTTTTACTAAAGTGGACAGTTTGTATAATAACTCCACAGCTGTTTTTACACTGCTGTTTCCAGTCGTGCTAAGCTAAGCTAACTGACCATATTTACCGTAAAGACATCATGAGAGTTGTATCAATCGAATAAAAAGTGAAAAAGAAAGTGTATTAGAGTATTTTTGAGTATATGTTTAATATCTTTAACTATTCCTTTAATATATAATCCAAGTTAATTGTCTCACATCATATTTGTTAATATATTTAATTTAGATGTTAATTCTCTTTTGTAGAGCTTAAGCCACACACACATCTACATTACCGAGAAATGCATGAAAATAAAAATTGGTCTGTATTGTGACTTTGGAGTCCTTCCTTATTGGTCTCTCCTCATACTTCAGCTTAACATTAAAGGTTCAGATCCCAACAGGGGCCAAAGACACATGAGCTTCAGACGGCTTTTAAAATGTCCGGTCTGAACCCAACATCACATGCAGCTATAAGGAGGTTTTTATTAGTAGTAGTATAATTTATATATTTATGAATGGGGGGACAAACTGCTGACTGGTTCTTAAAATCTGTGTTTCTCTCTCTGTGGGTTAATCACTCACTAATCCATGTTAGGACAAGAACCTTTGACAATATGGTCATTCTCATATGCAGTCATGTCAGTAGTTTGTTTTTGCCATCAACTAACTATATGTGACAAATGCGACATGTAGATCTGTGTAATAAACATTTTGTTTTAAATGTTAGCTCATTTAAAAAACAGTGATCACGCCACGTATCCTAATGTGTAAAGTTATTTTGAGGAATGTAACATAATCCTTCATACTGTAGGAGGTTCTGAAAGGTGTTTTCAGTTACCAAACCAGTTTCTTCTTGATAGTGATGTCTGATTCATTGTCTCCACTGTTATACCTCACCTGGCCAGCTTCATCCAGTCACCCACCTGCTTGGGGCAGAAACTGATGAGTTCTGATTAGTTTTTTACTCTTCCCTGTTACCAGAATAAACCTTTGGACTTTTTTTCAATTTCTACAACTTAGGGCAATTTAACATAAGCAAAAGCACAAACAGGAAATACACCAGTTAGAAAAATACTGCAGTTACAAGCTATTTTATATCCTGGAAATGAAAACAGGTGCACAAGCACAAGTAAAACTGGAGAAAATATGGTAGGAATGTGGTTCAGAGAGGCGTTTTCCATTAATAAACCTGTTTCCATTTTATTATAAGGGCCTAAAATTACTGTGCTGCTGGCTGACAGGAAAGACACACAACATCGTTGCTATGATGGCCGCACCTCAATTAATACATTCTCGCTGAATGTAAATGAAAGTCATAGAAAAGGTGCACGAAGTGAAACGAAAGTGAAAAATGAACACACCTTTACAGTTTTTCCTCCCAAAGCCTGAAGGTCCTTATAAAGAGTGAACTGAAGAACCTGAAGAGAGGTACGTGAACACACACAGCCTGTATGTATTTATATAAAGTTTTATCAGTGTGAGGAGATGAATTTAGTTAGTGTGATAGAAACTGTGCTCTTAAACCGCCAGTGTTGAGTCGGACTCAGCTGTGAGCTTCCTGACTGATAAAAGCAGATTTGTGGTGTTTGCCTGAACGATCACCCTTTGGTGACTGTGTTTGATCTCATTAAGAAGCTGCAGCCAAACTGTGATCTTATCAGAAACTAAGCAATTAATATTAGCACACACTTGATAAACTATAGGAAAAAACATTTTAATAAGGGAACATCTGGAAAAGTCTTTGACAGCTACGGGCGGTTCCATTTTAATCCCAGTTAAAGGACTTTTTGTTAGGAATGTGGTTTTTGTGTTCATGTCTTTCCTGTTTAAGTCTGTTTTTGGTTCTGTGTTTCTCTGTGTAGTCCTGTACGTTAGTTAATATCTTTTGTGTTTACTGCTAGTCTTGTGTTCCCTGTTTAGTCTTGTGTATTCCCTTGTTCATTTACTGGTTCTGTTTAGCTCTGCATCTCAGCCCTGTGTCGTACTTGTCTGCTTGTCTAAGTGTTCTCTCTGTTACCCCCTGTTGACTCTGCCTGCCTGCCTCCCTGTTTTCCTGCTGTCTCTCTGCCTCCCTCGCTATCCTAGCCTCAGGTTTTCAGCAGTCTGCAAACGGGATGCTCGGCCGCGGCGTCTACCTCAGCAGAGACCTGCAGAAAGCTAGCCGCTATCCCATTGATCACCCTGAGTCTGACAGGGCTGTCATCAGGGTTATGTTCAAAGTGGGGCAAGTGATCGCCATCGATTATCAAGGCCACCCACTTCAGAAGACCTGGCATGCCCATGGCTATGACACCGCCTGGGTGCCACCCGGGTGTGGGATGGTGAAGAGCGGTTTGGAGGAGGATTGTGTCTGGGATCCATGTCAAATCTATATTTATAATACCATCAACCCACGCCAGATTTGCTGTCTCTCTAATATGATGTAAGTGAATTAAATGTTGTCTTCACAAGAATAGTCGGATCCAGCTATGAGGTCACAGCAGTCCGGACTTCATAATTAGGCCTACATGCAGGCTATTTCCTTTCATCAATAAAAAGAAATCTAGCTGATTACACTGCCGCAACCCTCATTTCAACTTGAAAAACTCTTCCCCGATCAGCGTCCAGACTTGGGGAAACACATGAAGCACATGAAAATGTTGTGTGTGCAATAACTGAGAGCAGTGCTGCTTGCAGGCAGAGTTTTGGGCAGTACCATTTACCTTGGGCTATAGGGTATGAGATAAAATGTTTCTGTAAATTGGCGGGTGGGTGAAATAGGGGGAAATCTCTCCCATTAAGAGCTGCGCATTTACGCACAAGGAACAGCAGCAGAACGTCAGTGATTATTAAAATATTCTGACACGCTGACAGGATCGGTCAGCAATTAATGTTCAATGTTCTTCTACACATTCACCTCTCACGCACAGTCCAGGTTCATACTATCAAACTGTTTGGAGTAAAGCAGCCATCCTCCTGATCACTCCAGAGCTTCGTCAGAGCGTCTAAACATATTTCAGAAACTCAATATTGAATTCTGTTTCCTCTGGAGAGTTTCCCCTGTTTGTCCTGTCAAGTTTATCAGTGCCTTTTTTTTGTTTTGTCCTCCGATGTTTGCTGTGACATTACTGCATGCATGGATTCGTTTTCAATGACTGACCTCTCTAATCATTAAAGTAAATTGTCAAATAAAATGTTAATACATCAATACAGCATAAAAACTAAATCACCTGGAAGGCCACAGGGGAGACCAGTGGAGGTGGGTGCAAGTCTCTCAATCTGGAAAATAATAAGTTGGATGGGGTGCGAGTCGATGAGTTATAGCTAAGGATTCAGATCATGTCCAAGGCGATCACATCACACCAAACAGTGCAAAAACTTGCTGACGTCACTTTAATAGGATATAACATATCAACTAGAGCATCCTCTGCATTCAACACTAACCTGCTGCATTTTATGTTGTCATATAGTAATAACAGTGCCCCTTATGTAATCTGCACATGTCTGTCTGGATCTGTCTGAAGAAGTGGAAGAAAGACCATGATGAACAGCCTGTACTTAGTGTTTTTCAACCAAATGCAGTGCTTTGCCCTCTGCGTTTGGTTCAAGCCTTCACTGCACACACACACACACACACATCCTTGTACTTCTATAGTTGTGAGGCCCCTCATTGACATAATGCGTTCCCTGGACCCTTACCCTAACCTTAAGTGTATAACTTTGGGTTTAGGTTTAACATTGGTATGAATTAACATTATTAAGCTCTATTAAAAGTAACCAAAAATCTTTATAAACCCTGTTCACAAGACTACCAAAGGGTAATCACCACAACACCACATGCAGCTATTAGGAGGCTTACACTAATTAAGTTATTTTTTTTTAGTTAAATATTTATTAATGGGGGACAAACTGGTGACTGGATCATAAAACTCTCTTTGGGGGAAAAATTAATTAATAATCAATAATCCATGTTACTATATCAACCTGTGGGAACATGGTTGTGCTCAAACACAGTATGTTAGTAGGTATTTGCAAACACCTGTATGTGATATATACGTAAATCCATGTGGCGAACCTTTTGTTTTGAATGTTTGGTCATTATAAAAAAATGACCACGCCTAATGTGCAAAGTTATTTTAATGTATATAAACGTGATCCTAGATAATCCTGTACACTGAGGTGTGTAATACATGTTGTTGTGTCCAGGGGGCGCAGTGGCTCCACAGTTAACACTTCTGCCTCTCTAGCAGGTCATGGATGAATGATGTGAACTGGATATTTTTAATCATCACTGATTTTACATACATGCAGTATTATTTATATGTTCACATGTTGTCAAGTTGACTTAGATCTGCACATGCAGAACATTATAAATAAGTTTGGACACACATACTGGATGTTGTGTGTGCTGTTAAAAATGAAAAATGGGACAATACAGCCACTGACATTTATGATTACGTAGGATATGTGTAAATCAATTATGTTAAATGTCTTTTTTTGTATGTTTTATTTGTTAAAAGGTCCATGCCTCAAATATTTTAAATTTAATGTATGACAGCACAAATATAAAACCATAAACACAATTGGTTGAATATCATTATAGTTGCTGATTACTTTTTGTCCACCGACTGACTAATCTTTGCTCCAAATCACATGCATGTTTAAGGCTAACACATGTACAAAGGTCTGTTTTTTGCAGTAGCAAGCCAAATCTGATGTGATCTCCTATTCGATTACATGACTGCCTTCAATACAAGAACAGATTTCTACAAATCTGTGGAAGAAAGAATGAAGGTGAGCAGAAGTAAAAGGGCAAATGACTGATGGATCCTCTCTATGTAG